TTTGAGGATCACGGTGAGGGCTTCCCCAAGGGGAGTTCCTCACCCCTCAAGCACTCCGCAGCCGGTGGAGTTTCCGATGGAACGTGCTGGGCCCTCTGCAAGACAGAGTGCACCATCCGTATCCCTCAGTGCTCCCTCTGACGACCAGATGTCGATCGCTGCATCAGAGGGTGAGCTCTCTCTCTCCGGGGATGACGGCCCGCCTGCGTTGCCCCCTTCGGGTGTGGTAGCGTTGTCCGAGCCAGACCCAGAGATGACGGCTATGCTTTCCCGGGCTGGGAACTGCGTGCTGCGATGGACCTCGCGCTTCGAGCAATGAAGGTGACCGCACAGTCTCTGGGTCGTGCGATGTGGAAATCGCAGTCCTGCTGGCGAAGGATGCGATAGAGCCAGTCCCTCCAGCCGATATGAGGTCGGGGTTTTACAGCCCTTACTTCATTGTGCTAAAGAAAAGCGGTGGGTTATGACCGATCTTGGATCTGCGAGTTTTAAACAGTGCACTTCACAACCTGCCGTTCAAGATTTTGATGCAGAAATGCATTTTCGAGTGCATCCATCCCCAAGATTGGTTTGCAGCGATTGACCTGAAGGACGCGTACTTTCATGTCTCGATCCTCCCGCGGCACAGGCCGTTCCTGAGATTTGCGTTTGAGGGTCGGGCATATCAGTACAAGGTCCTTCCCTTCGGGCTGTCCCTGTCACCTCGCGTCTTCACCAAAGTCACGGAGGCAGCCCTTGTTCCTTTGAGAGAACGACTGGCTCATACTCACACAGTCTCGCGATCAGTTGTGCGCACACAGGGACTTGGTGCTCAGACACCTCAGCCTGTTGGGTCTTCGGGTCAACTGGGAAAAGAGCAAACTTGTGCCAACGCAGAGGATCTCTTTCTTGGCATGGAGTTGGATTCGGTCAGCCAGACAGCACACCTCACCCAGGAACGTGTTCAGTCGGTGCTGAACTGCCTCAAGACTTTATCAGGCAGGACGGCGTTCCCACTGAAATTCTTTCAGAGGCTTCTGGGGCATATGGGCATATGAGACCACTTCAGCACTGGCTCCATGGCAGAGTCCCGAGGTGGGCGTGACTACGCGGTACTCACCGGGTTCAGATTCCCCCGGCCTGCCGCAGAACCTTCAGCCCGTGGTCAGATCCTTTGGGCAGGAGTGCCCCTTGAACAGGTATCCAGGCATGCTGTGGTGTTCACAGACACCTCGGCCACCGGCTGAGGAGCCCTGTACAATGGGCACGCAGTGTCAGGGATATGGACGGGGCCCCACCTGCGTTGGCATATCAATTGTCTCGAGTTGCTGGCAGCGCACCTTGCCCTGAGCCGCCTCAGAGGGCGCCTTCGGGGCAGGGACATACTGGTCCGTACGGACAAAACTGCGACCATTGCTTATATCAACCGGCAAGGCGGTTTATGCTCCCGTCGCATGTCACAACTCGCCCTCCACCTCCTCCTCTGGAGTCAGAAGCATCTGAGGTCCCTTGGTGACATCCATATCCCAGGAGTGTTCAATCGGGCAGCCGACGAACAGCACTTCCAGGGGAATGGAGACTCCACCCCCAGGTGGTTCAGCTGATCTGGAGACGGTTCAGAGTTGCTCCAGTAGACCTGTTTACATCTCCAGAAACCACCCACTGCCAGTGGTTCTACTCCCTAACCGAGGCAACGCTCGGCACACAGCTGGCCCCGGGTCCTGCGCAAATATGTGTTCCACCCAGTGAGCCTGCTCGCACAGACACTGTGCAAGATCAGTGAGGACGAGGAGCAGGTCTTGTTAGTGGCTCCATATTGGCCCAACAGGACCTAGTTCCCGGAACTCATGCTCCTTACGACAGCCTCTCCCTAGCCGATTCCTAGCCGAGGAAGGATCTGCTTTCTCAGAGACGGGGCACCCTCTGGCACCCGCGTCCGGACCTGTGGAAACTCCATGTGTGGTCCCTGGATGGGATGCGGAGATTCTATGTGACCTACCCCAGGAGGTAGCTCTCACTATCGCTTCAGCATGAGTTTCGTCCACAAGATGGGCCTATGCGCTGAAGTAGAACCTGTTCATCGAATGGTGTTCCTCTCACCAGGAGGACTCCCGGAGATGTTTGATCAGAGCCGTGCTTTCCTTCTTGCAGCTTGGGCTGGAGCGAAGGCTGTCCCCCTCCACCTTTAAGGTTTACGTTGCTGCTATTTCCGCCCACCACAACCCCATAGAGGGTCGGTCGGTCGGTCGGGAAGCACGATCAAGTCGTCAGGTTCCTTAGGGGGACAGGAGGTTAAATCCTCCTAGGCCTTCCTCCCTGCCCTCTTGGGATATGGCATTGGTGCTATGAGCCCTACAAACTGAAGCCTTTGGAGTCAGTCGAGTTGAAGTTTGTTTCTATGAAAACCCTACTCCTGACTACATTGGTCTCGATCAAGAGGGTGGGGAACCTGAAGGCATTTTCGGTCGACGAATCATGCCTTGAGTTTGGGCCGGCTGACACAGGGCACTAGAGGGGGCAGCACCTGTGGCACGTTGGTAGGGATCCCAATTCATCGGTCATCACTGACATGACGCTGAGAGTGACTGACTGAAAGGGAACGTCTCGGTTACGTATGTAACCCTCGTTCCCTGAAGGAGAGAATGGAGATGTCATGTCCCGTCGCCACAGTTGCTGTACCACCGCTGATCTGCCGGGTCACTGGTTCGGCTCCTCAGCGAAAACATGAATTAATGCAGTGCACCTGCTGCCTCTTATACCCGCGCTGCGGGGTGTGGCAGCCAGATGCGAAATCCGCATTCGCATTCGTCGGTCATCACCGACATGATCATACGTAACCGAGACGTTATCTATTTTATCAGTTCAAACACATTTTTGTCAAAGTTTTCCTTTAAAAGTGTGTTTGCTCTTGTTAAAATAAATGCCACTTGGTTTGACAATATTCATCTATTTTTAAGTGTGTCTTAAGTGTCTAAATACTTTTTTGGGCCACTGTACATGGATAGAAAGTCAACAGAAAGTCAGAGTTCTGCAAAATAACTGCTGTTGTATACTGAATGACTATTATGACACCACAGGACGTCAATGTCTCCAAACTCAGTGAGCTCTGTTATTTAGTTCTTCATTTACTCATGCAATGTGACATCTGCACTGTCTGTCATGTGTATTAGAGCAAAACATGTCTGACCTGACAGTCTGCCACAGCAAACAAGACTACAATCACAGAAAGAGGGGAAAAAAGAGTGCAGAAATCAAAAGGCACTATGAGTGATTTGTTCATATTGGAGGGATGTAATGCTGTACTTGACTTCTTTGAGTTCTTGAAGACTGAAACGTGTTTCTCTGAAGATCTTTTAGCTTTAGCGGTTATTTAGGTGTGAGTACTGAGAGAGAGATGCTGCCACTGCCAGTCAGATAGATGATGCCGAGGATATCACGTTAAAAAAGAACAATGATTTATCACTTGTCTTCTGAAAAGTGTCCTTTAATTCACCTTTATAAAACAGATGGTTGAGGTTCTAAAATCTTACTGGATGAGCCATGTCTGAAGCCAATTTAATTAAGCAATAAAGTATGTGAAGTTGTGCTTTACAGTTACTATTTTCATGACTGTAATGCTGTATTGACCAATCAGCATCCCAGAAAGGCACAACACAGGCCGATATACACACAGGTCTACCTACGGGACCACATATAAACTTGTATATTATTCTATGGTTTTTAATTCTGCATTCATTCTCTCTCACTCTCTCTCTCTCTCTCTCTCTCTCTCTCTCTCTCTCTCTCTCTCTCTCTCTCTATATATATATATATATATATACGTATATATATATTATATATCTATAATGTATACTAGTATAGGAATGTTGGCAGCTTTTATCCTATTGCTGCTGGCTGTGCATGATTTAGCCATTCTTTATGTCTACATAACCATGCTTTATGTCTACAACACCCCTCAGAAACCCAATAAGTTGATCAATTTTATTTTCTGTGATGGCATATTTCCTGTTAAACAGGACATTAGTGCTGGACAAAAAAACGTCTTGTTATTCTTCTAAATTAGGTTATTATAATTAAATAATTGGGTTGGGACATCTATATGGGTAGCATAAACTTGTGAAAATGATGTGTGCTTAATTGTATTGAATGTGCACTTGTATTGTACTTCAAATCTAAAAAGTATATTTTTAAAAACTGTTCTTGCAGATAATATATTAATGAAATAAAAGGTCATTTAAGTGTACTTAAGTAGAACACACTTTCATGACTGTTTCTTAACACACTTAAGTCACTTTAAAAAAGGGCACTTTGTAAAATTAAAAGTTTTACTTTAAAGTACATTTTAAATAATTATGTTTTAATAATCTTTTGTCATGCTTTAAAGAAGTACACTTATTTTGATTGTTGACTAACATACTAAAACACATGTAAAATACTTGATTATTGTTTTAACTGTAGTGTTATTCTGTATCACATCTACAGTAAATACATTTTAAATGTTCAAGTGTATTATTTCCACGATAAGTATTCTTTTTAAAAGTATGTTAAATTGTACTTCTTTTTCACATGACCTCAAAGCTAACAGATATGAACTAAAAGCGATGCTTTCATGTCATCTTTATGGTAAAATCACTGTAAAGAACAACCTGAAATGGCTTATTGTTATTGTTTTTAAAAGATAGTTCACCCAAAAATGCTGTCATTTACACACCTTCATGTCATTCCTATGACTTTCTATATTTTTGATAAACAAACAGTTTTGGCGACCGTTGACTTACATTGTATGGGGATAATCAAGAACAAAAAAAAGGCATTTCTTGAAATATACTTGTCTATGCTCCACATAAGAAAGTAAGCCATATAATTTTGGAACAAAATTAAGGAGAATAAATGATGACAGTATTTTAACTTTTGGGTGAACTATCCCTTTAAATAAGCCGATAAGTTGGTCACCCTGTAACACAGTGATGGTTGGTTGTGTGTGTTTAACTGCAGTGGTCTGCTGTCTGCGAAGCTCTCACCAACTGTCAGCACGCGCCAAAGCGGTGGGCTGAGCACAGCTCATCTGGATGAGATAGCGGGAGGGCCAGTGGGTGTGACAGTCTTAGGGTTTGGGGAGGAGCCAGATAAAACCTCCTCCTCAGGGACGGACTCTATTGTAGACAGTAATTGATAATATTCATCCTCTCCATCCAGAAGCTTGATCTGCCTGAGAAATTAGAGAGAAATATAAGAGGGTCACTGATACATTAAGCCAAACAGAGCATAAACTGTAAAAAAATATATAGGTTTGGTAAGCTAAAAACTTGCTTCATGTAATATCTAAATCAGGGCTGTCCAAACTCGGTCCTGGAGGTCTGGTGTCCTGCAGAGTTTAGCTCCAACCCTAATTAAACACACCTGAACCAGCTAATCAAGCTCTTACTAGGCATAGAAACTTCCAGCCAGGTGTGTTGAGGCAAGTTGGAGCTAAACTCTGCAGGACACTTGACCTCCAAGACTGAGTTTGGACAGCCCTGATCTAAATTAACTGGATCTATCCATTAAAAATATTTGTCCCACTTAATATTAAGTGGCCTTAACTACTATGTACTTGCATCAAAAAATAAGTACAATGTACTTAGTGTTCATATTTTATTGCAAAACACTTTTGCTGCTATTGAGGTGTGATACGGGTAAGGTTAGGGACAGGTTTGTTGGTATGGGTAGGTTTAAGGGTGGGTTGAGGTGTAAGGGATGGGTCAACAGTGTAATTATAAATGTAATTACAGAAATTAATTACAGAGGCAATTACATGCAGGTATTTTTAAAATAAGTACAATGTAAAAACATGTATGTACACAATAAGTGCATTATACCAAATTATTAATTGAAATGTAAGTACATAGTAGTTAAGGCCACTTAACTTAACTTAAAGTGTGACCAAAATATTAATTAATATAACTGAATTAACCTGACTGTATTAGGGTTTTTAAGGGTGAGATCAAGTAGTTTCTTGAAGTAAGCATAACATGGACATTTTTTTTAATTCAATGTCAATATTTCAAATTAAAACCTATTTGACATAACTTACAGCCTATAACATTAGGAAGAGTGTTTATTGAAGGTGCTGTATCTTGTTTTTTCTTTCAAGTCCTTTCATTTTTTAAACACACATCAGAGATTGTACTTTTTTACTCAGACTATTTTTATGGGATTGATCATAATATTGTGTTAAAAAAGTTTTAACAGGCTGTTTGAGGAAGTATTTTTAGGTATGGTATAACTGTGTGCTTTGTGTGTTGATGCTCTGAGTACAGACACCAATGAGAATAACATGGAGGAAAGAACACCATAATCTTCCGTTTTTAAATGAGCAGTGCATACTTAGCCACATGAAGAAAATTCAGTGATACATCTCATTATCTGTACAGTATGAACTGCTTCCTTCTGAGAGATGATACAGAGCTCCATGTTATAAATTAAAAAAGCAGAAGAATTATTTGCCTGTATCAGTACAGATTTTTAATAGTAGTTCAACTTAATTGTATAGTTATTTTTTGTGTGTTTATTTTCACAAATATATATATGTATTTCTATCATGAGAACTCTCTGAAGATTTTAGCATGGTAATGGATATGATAATGTTAATGTATTTGGTCTTGGTGGAATAGATCTGATATGCTGCTGCTGCTGCTGAATTGCTGCTGCTGTTGGTTGTTGCTGTATTTGTAGCTTATTGCTGCTGCAAGCAAGTACAGGAACTTGCTACTGCCAATACATAAGCCGATATGGTGCTGTGAGTATTTAAGACATACTGCTGCTGCACAAATAGCATATAAAATAACCCTGTAGCAGATCTATACAGGTGGAGCTGGGGAAGGTGGAGGGTTTCAGAGGAACTCTGAAAGCGCACTGCAATGCTCAAGCGAATGCTAATCGGCATTTAAATGTAAAGCAGCAAGCTTATTGGCTGCGTATGCAACATGAACCAATCAGCTTGTGACAAGTCATTTAATGCTAAGTATATCATCAGTTACGTTAAGGACCCATCAGTCTGCGCCATCTAGAGGTTCCTTACAGAACTTGGTGTATATACGTAAATATATATATATATATATATATACATGGTGTGGCAAAATAATTAATTACATTACTTAAATAGAAACATTTAAACTTAATCTTTCAACTAATATGAGCTCATAAAAACTGCATGAGTACTAAAGTAGCTAAATACTGTTAAAAATACATTTTAAATTCCTTGAAAAATAGCAGAACATGCACATTTCCCTAATTACATTCTAAATGAGATTGGCTGCATGTCTCTTTCTCGTTTCCATTACAAGATACTTTAATGACCTTTCAACCATCTCAACTAGTTACTTCAGCCTCACATGAGGTGCTCGGATTCAAAACATCGTGACTTTCCTCTGTGGGTGGAAGATAATTTGGTATCACCACTCTGAAATTCTGAAACTCACTCCCTTGAGTCCCCACAGCGACTTCTCCATCCACTCTTCTTTTTTCCCAGTACTATTCCCTTCCTCTGACTCTTAATGTGTGTGTTTATTTTCTCTGATGCTTTTGAGTTTCTTATGTCAGTCAGTTGCATTTGTTTCTGAAGCGTGAGCAACCTGAGTGCTATAAATAACAGGCAATAAATTAATAAAACAGTGTTTTAATTTAAAGTGTTAAAACAGCAAAACAAATAACCTAAGAGGTTAAAACGGCAAACTAAAAGCAAAAAAAAAAAAAAAAAGTTGCCTTATTTTTTAACAGGGGTTAAAAATGACAAATATATAAAAGAAAAAGCAAGAAACGGTTAATCCTTTCATAAAGAGCGCTGATATACAGCCTGCTCAGGGTATTAGAGGAACCAGGCTTAACTTCACAGATTGTGAGGTCACATATCTCACAATTAATACATGCATTCTTATATCACGCTTCTCTCCTCCCAAAAATAATAGAAAAAAAGGCACTTCTTAAATAGTTCGTATTTTCAGCTGCACATTTGCATGAGAAGCAAACAGAGCCGAGGTCTTCTCGGCTCCCCTCCTGAGCTGGTGGGGTGTTTAGATATGAAGAAGGAAAGCTGTTATTTACCCCAGTTTTCTGGGTTTCCTCTTGCTCCCCTGATAATCCAGACTTCTCTGCAGAGAGGACACATAACCAGCACACGCAAACACACACACACACACACACACGCACAGAGTTAGAAAAGCTTCAGAAAAGACAAGCACGAAGCAACGAACATGCGCGAGAGAATCATTAATTTTTAATTCAAAGTGATTTTGTGTTGAATGTGTGCAGATGCTGATAATATCAGAAGTCACAGCATAATTTTTCTTGATCAAAGCTCGCGCGGCTGAGGCTGATGAGGCAGGCATCTTGCTCGGCTTTGATAAACCACATCAATTATTCACCGTGAAGGGAGACATCCTCACATGAAAGCAACAGATAAAGCGCCAAAGCACATGGTGGAGACAACAGAACGGCAGAGCGGCGTGGGGGTGGGGCTCGGGGGTCTGGCACAGGTAGCTTTAATTGTATTATCATCTGGAAACAAAGTTAGACAAAGGCTTCCATGAAAGGCTTTGAACTCACGTTGAGATGGTTGTAATAAAGACTGTCTTCCGGGCTGTTCAGGAGCTTGGGCTGCTGTCCTCTTCGCCGAGGGGAACGGTGATGTAGCTTCACCGTTGGACCTGCGGGACACACACACACACACACATGTGCGGGACGGATCAGTGACACGTCTCCCATTGTGTTGCCCTGCAGGAATTGTATAAGCAGAGCGGCACAAATAAAGCTGACAGCTGCAACATAAATACATCATGCTAAACAATAGTGCACTGCAAGATTTTTACATTTTGTGAAGAAAATGTGAGTGGTGTTTGCCCTTGCAAAAGTTGCTATGCAGAATATGAACGTAAAATAAAGTGCAACCCAAAAATCAGTAATGGTACACCCCTCCATAACAAGCCACATGATTTGAGGTGTGATTCATGTCCTGTTCATATTAAAGACACCAAAACATTTTGACAACACTTTAACGCAAGTTACACATTACATGTAATTACTTAGTAGTAACAGTTCTTACAAGTGATTACAAGCAACTAATCCTAATCCAAACCCTACCGATAGCCCTATAGTAAGTACACCTAATTAATATTACACAATATTCATTTAACTACACTGTAACAACAAAAACAACACTTAAAATAAATGTGAACAATGTTTCTGTTCAAAACACTACCTATATATACTGTATATAAAATTCAGTTGTATTTTTTAATGTCTTTGAAAGATGTCTCTTATGCTCACCAAGTCTGCATTCACTTGATCAAAAATATAGTAAAAACAGAAATATTATGACATGATTTCAATTTAAAATTGTTTTCTATTGAGGTATGTTAAAATGTAATTTCTTCCTGATGCAAATCTGAATTTTCAGCATCATTCCTCCAGTCTTCAGTGTCACATGATCCTTCAGAAATCATTCTAATATGCTGATTTGCTGCTCGAGAAACATTTCTGATTATCAATGCTGAAAAAAGTTGTGCTACTTTTTTGTATAAAAATGTGAAACACATTTCCAATCATTCCTGCTATCACATCTACAAGTAGTTTAAATATGCAGTGTGTACTTTTCACAATCATACATGAGTGCCAACCATCTGATCCACCAAAATTCTGTCGGTTCACAATTATCGTAGATCAAACAGCATGTCAGGAAGAGGAGAAAGAGAGAGTCTTGCTTCCTCATGTTCACTTGTAACCTTTCAGATCTACAAACACCACAAAATGAGCAGAAATCCAGGACACCTTTCTACATTGACATGTATATTTAATATCTGGGCCTGTTTCATCTCGCCTTCATTTCAGTCGAATCAGAGCTTCTCTGCTCATCATCTATCCGTAAATCTTCTCTAAAACAGAGTTCAGTGATGTAGTCGTTCTGCAGAACGCTCCGGAACAGAATGGCGTGATGGCTTTGAACAGACCGCAGAACATCTCTATCCTTCTCACACATCAAAGGGTTGAGGTTCAGTCTTTCTCTGGCTTGGTGTAATTCTACTTTGCATAGATTTGACTTTCTGCTGCTTCAAAAGCGTTTAAAGAACGGGTGATGTGCTCTTCCGCTGTACATTGATGCACTTGTAATGACTGCAGAGTTCTGGTCCTCCAAATGGGTCAAGAGCACTCAGTGTCACACGCTGCAACCTCTTTCAACTTTACATTCAAATTGTCTTTGCGCAAAAGTTGACTTTTCCCATCTCCTACGCTTAAGGACCTCCAAGCTTCCTGCATAAAAGAACTGCTCTGCAAGTCATTTCACGACTGTAAATCAAAACTGGTTTGGACAGAAACTCTATATTTGCCCAATGAGAAGAGATCAAACAGAGAGCATAACTGTTTAGGACAAAAATAAGAGATGAAAAATTGGAAAAGCACATTTATGAACAAATTTGTTCTGACAGCAAACCAGTAATTTCATCCAGATACTAAACGTACAGAAGAATATTCTCTTCCTTCAATACAATTCTGAGAAAATAAATTAATAGAAATATCTATATTTATACTGGAATCATTTATTAATAATTGAAATACAGGCTAATTAGTTAAAAGTATAAAAGTCAACATGAAATCAAAACTAACCTTATTTGCTTCATTAATACACATACCAGGTCTTTTTAAATGATGCATCTGCAAATTTGCATGAACTGATAATACATACACACACACACACACATATATATATATATATATATTTACCGTATGCCTTCAATGCACTTTAGAATAAAGCATCTGCCAAATGCACAAAAGTTATTGAAGGTTAACTGAACACAAAACTGTAACCATTCATCAAAATGTAATAAATTGCTCCTCCTCTAAAATGATTTTTTTGTTGTCAAACCCTCTTATTTTTGAACCTCTTCCCATCAATCGTCCACTTTTCACCATCCAATCAATTCCCAAAGGATGTAATTAAGTTCTGCTTTACACTTTTTTCTTGTTAAATACCCTCTTATATCACACTTAATTTAGTAGCTTAATTACACCTGAAATGTGAGAAAGTGCCAGTGAACTTGAAGTCAAGTGGGTGCAGTTAAGAGAGAGAGAGAGAGAGAGAGAGAAAGAGAGGGCAATACCTTTAAGTTACTCCCCTAACACAGAGTTTAAGTAGTCTGACCTTGAGCCATTAGTGATATGTAAGTCTCACTACCACACACACACACACACACACACACACACACACACACACATGTGGGTTAGTGGCTGATCCTCCCCTTTTGTCTGGGAAATCAGCAGCATTTGATCCCGAGCTCTCCCTCAGGGCTGCCGCTCTTGCTCTGACAGACCAGCAGCACACAGGCAGCCATCCATCTAAACGCTCTTCATCCTGCCTAGGGCCTGAGTACCACACTGCTGGAGCAGAGAATCCCACCCTAGACAAAACCAGCAGCTTAGCCTTTGACAGAGGGGACCACACTCCATAAAATCAAAATAAAATGTAAGCTTTTTTTCTTTGAAAGCTTTTTTTTACTTCGAAAACACAGAAATGTTTATCGAACTGGCCAGGTAAATAAACATGTAGTATGACTTTATTAGAACTTCTTTATTAATCAAGCAGTTACATTATTCATTCAGAATTTATTGTCCGTGTTTACGTAAATAAATTACATGCATTTTGCTGTAAGAGAGAGACTCAGAATGTAAGGAAGAGAGAGTTTCAATCTCTCACACAGTTTGCATCCAGAAGTGCATTTGACTGCACCTAGAAATGCCAGTTTAGCAACCTCAGGATATTGATGCAGTATTGGGAGACAAAAAATTATATAATTATATAATGATATAGGACTGTATCAACAAAGTCCTATGAGGCAATATATTAGCTGGTCATTCATTGTCCATCACAGAGGTGTTACGTCAGGAGTTGTATTATGTTTATTATTTGTGGTTGTTCTTTTTGCTACTGTGGTGTTTCTTTTTTCTTTGTTCTCTCTTTCTCTCTTTGTTTTTGTGTGACTACTGATAGTTTGATCAGGTTCACCTGTTGCGGATTTGCTGCCCAGCAACCTCAGCTTCACATCAAGAAGAAGACCAGCATAAAAGCCAGCTCCTGAAGTTTATGTTTTCACTTTTTTTTTTTTTTGAGGATCACTGCCCTAGACTAAAAGGGCTAGTATGTAACAAAGGACAAGTAAAGTTAAAGAACCAGAAAATCACAGCACGAGCAAGCAAACTTAAGGCTTTAATAGGAGAAAGGTTTCATAATGAAAACTCCAACAAAATAGCTTTTACACACATAAGATCACAAAATATATGAATGATATTAATTAAAAATGTTTATTTTTTAACTCTGTTCTTTGTGATTTCTAAAGAGAAGAACATTGAAACAATCTTTGCAGGAGCAGCAGCACAAAATTCACAAATGAAACCAGTTAACCACCGGTGTACCTCAAGTTTCGGTACTGAGACCTCTTTTCTTCTCAATAAACATAACATTATTGTGACTAGTCAGGCACAAAAGCTTGCTGGAATGATTTTTCTATACTACAAATAAATCACTCCATACTCACCTGAGTAATAATACTCCTGTAGCACAAACAGTAGAGCATGGCAGTAGCAACATCGAAGTTATGGGTTTGATTCCCAGGAAATGCATGAACAGATAACGCATACCTTGAATGCAATGTAAGTCTCTTTGGATAAAAGTATCTGCCAAATCCATTAATGTAAATGTATGAGGGCCATACATATAATTAGAAAATACTGATAATAGATTTTTAGTATTGAATATTTAATGTCACTGGGTGACAAGAAACAATGACAGGCTCACACAGAAATCCATTAACGGCATAACAAACCATTATATGTTTTTCATTGTGTGTGTTTGTGTTGGGAGGGGCAGTAATAATCTCTGAAGCAATCTATGAAGGTTTGCACAAAATATAATCCTTTATTCAGGACTTATCGATTTGTCTTATAGACTGTTGGGTGGAAGAAAAGAAGAAAAAAGCAATAAAATAAACCACTAAGGGGATGAGTTTTATGTTGTACCATTTGCCTTGCGTATCGTAAATGTTTGCATTTGATAGATAAAAAGGCTGAGAATTCTTCTCAGAGAGCGGTTTTAATTTGACGAGACTCATGCCGGCTCTTAAAAAGCACCTCTAAATCCCTTGAATATCAGAACACGCTTCAGAAACTACATAAAAGAGATGCTAAAAGGGTTTTTAGCCGTATAAACGCGGGAGGCGTATTGATTCCCGTCGCTCACGTGCATGATCACCTGACACGTCTCGGGCTGGGCCGGGCCGTTGGGGTTTGTTTGTACAGATGGAGGAGAGGGGGGATTGTAAGGCAAAATCATCAGCAGTGCTCTTTGATGTCTAAATGAAGCATGTGCAGACCAGACCATACACACACACTGCTGAACAGAGATGCTGAGAAACAACACACACTCAGATAAAAGCACAACACTAAGGGGAAGTCGTGGCCTAATGGTTAGAGAGTCGGACTCATAACCCAAAGGTTGCGGGTTCGAGTCTCGTACCGGCAGGGATTGTAGGTGGGGGGAGTGAATGTACAGTGCTCTCTTCCACCTTCAATACCACGACTGAGGTGCCCTTGAGCAAGGCACCGAACCCCCAACTGCTCCCCGGGCGCCGCAGCATAAATGGCTGCCCACTGCTCCGGG